GCGCCTCCAGGCCGCAGCGAGGGTCACGGCCACAGAGAAGGCCGCGGCGCGCGCGTTGGGACTGCGACACGGGCCACGGCGAGGGTCACGGCAAGCACCTCGGAGCCACAGTGAGCGCCTTCAACACAGGGAGCGCCGCAGGGCCACAGTGAGGGTAACGGTGAGGGTAAGTGCCTCACGGCCAGGGTGAGCACCTCAGAACCATGGTGAGGGCAACGGTGAGAACCCCATGACCAGGGTGAGCACCTCAGGGCCATGGTGAGGGCAACGGTGAGAACCCCATCACCAGGGTGAGCACCTCAGGATCATGGTGAGGGCAACGGTGAGAACTCCATGACCAGGGTGAGCACCTCAGGACCATGGCGAGGGCAATGGTGAGAGCCTCACAGCCAGGGTGAGCACCTCAGGGCCATGGTGAGGACAACCACAACTGCCTCAGGGCCACGCAGAGGGTAATAGTGAGCACCTCAGGGCCATGGTGAGGACAACAGTGGGTGTCTCATGGCCACGATGAGCACCTTAGGGCCGCAGTGAGTGCCTTAGGGCAATGGTGAGCGCCTCAAGGCCATGGTGAGCACCTCAGGGCCATGGCGAGGGTAACAGCAAGTGTCTCACGGCCACGGTGAGCACCTCAGAGCCATGGCGAAGGCAATGGTGAGAGCCTCACGGCCACGGTGAGCACCTCACGGCCATGGTGAGGGCAACAGCAAGTGCCTCATGGCTATGATGAGCACCTCAGGGCCATATTAACCCCCCTCGGGCAATGGCGAGAGCCTCATGGCCACAGTGAGCACCTCAGGACCATGCAGAGAGCAACAGCGAGCGTCTCATGGCCATGGTGAGCACCTCAGGGCGGTGCAGAGGGCAACAGCAAGTGTCTCGTGGCCATGATGAACATCTCCAGGCCATATTAACCCCTTGGGATAATGGTGAGAGCCTCACAGCCATGGTGAGAGCCTCACGGCCATGCAGAGAGCAATGGTGAGAGCCTCATGGCCACAGTGAACAACTCACGGCCATGGTGAGGGCAACAGCAAGTGTCTCATGGCCATGGTGAGCACCACAGAGCCATCTCGAGCAATGGTGAGAGCCTCACAGCCATGGTGAGCGCCTCAGGGCCATGCAGAGGGCAACAGCGAGTGTCTTATGGACATGATGAGCACCTCAGGGCCATGGTGAGAACCTCAGGGCCATGTAGAGAACAACAGCAAGTGCCTCATGGCCATGATGAACATCTCCAGGCCATATTAACCCCTTTGGACAATGGTGAGCACCTCAGGGCCATGCAGAAGGCAATGATGAGAGCCTCATGGCCATGGTGAGCACCTCAGAGCCACAGTGAGCACCTCGAGCAATGGTGAGAGCCTCATGGCCATGGTGAGCACCT